TGCCCCTAGTGGTCATGTGGAGAATTGCATGGACTAACTGAAATAACACTAAATAACTTATTGCAACAAGAAATGAAAAGATACAACATAAAATGAAAATTATTTTTGGGGTGTCTATTTTCTTACTTATTGTCTTTATTTACTAGTAACTTGTTTTTCACCCCTCTACATCAGTAATGATTTTCTAACCTTCTATTGTCCAATTTTGGTGAGCCTGTGCGAACTGTGGCCTCAGTTTCCTGTTCTTAGCTGACAGGAGTGGCACCCGGTGTGGTCTCCTGCTGCTGTAGCCCAGCCGCCTAAAGGTTCAACAATTTGTGCATTCAAAATGCTCTTCTGCATACCTCAGTCATAACTAGTGGTTATTTAAGTTACTGTTCCTGTTCCATCAGCTCCAAGCAGTCTGGCCATTCTCCTCTGACCTCTGGCATCAACCGGGCATTTGCACCCACAGAACTGGAGTTTATTGGATATTGTCATGTTTTCTGACCAATCTCTGTAAACCCTAGAGATGGTTATGTGTGAAAATCCCAGTAGATCAGTGGATCAGATTTCTCAGACCAGCCACATTCAAAGTCACTTAAATCATCTTTCTTCCTCGTTCTGATGCTCAATTTGAACTGCAGCAGATCATCTTGGCCATGTCTACGTGCCTAAATGTATTGAGTTGCTGTCATGTGATTGACTAATTCAACATTTGTGTTGATGAGCAGTTGGGCATGTGTACTGTTAAGAATTAAAAAGAGGAATAACTTGATTTAGCTCGTTAATTAATTCTTTGTCCCGAATTCCTGTGTCTGTGTACGTGTGCAGAGAGAAAAGAGCAATCATATGACGTCAGACTTCAGATATTCAGAGTTTTATCCAGAGAAATTCAATGCAGTTCAGAATGTTACAACAAGCATCTCACCTAATTATCAAAAAGTCCAAGACATGACAAAACAGAGACAAAGAACTGAGCAAAAAGACAAAACAGAAGATGCATCCTCCGGGAAACTCTCACTCAGCACAAAGAGATTCGAACTTCTGCTGTAAAACAAATCATTTATAGAATGCATATTCTCCTCATTTAAATATATGCATTAGGAGGTGTGTTCTTTTCCTTTGTGTGGGCTGTCTTAATGTTAATGTTATTACCTCTGAGACCCAACCTCCAGCTCTTCTCGTACCAGGCTCCGACCTGATTTACAGCGTGGAACTGGAACGTTATCTCTGCCTCAAGATGCTTCAACAAGAAACTAGTTGGTGTTTTTAACCAAGCTTGCACAAAATGTAATGCTAAATAATGACTATAAGTTTGGATCTAATAAGTAACTAATTAAAAACATGCTTAAAGAAATATAGTTAATTCTAATATAGATAAAATTATTTATAAAAAGTTTTAAGATCCTAGTGAACTTTTGAACCGTGCTCAGGAATTTGTTAATTGCCTGGCAGACAGACTCCCTGTCTAAAGAGATCCAAGGAGTCTAGGCCTGTGTTCTGTCTACTCCTCTTTTTAAGAATTTATCTTTATATGCGTTCATAGAGTGAGCCGTTGTTCTAGTATTATCTAAATTTATATGCATTAGAGTGTACTTTAACTTTCTATGTTATATTTCATATGTATCAAAAACTATCCTGTGCAGTATTGTGCTAACTTAAAATTCTATTTCAACACCACCTAATAAATTGAGTGTATATTACACAACTTCTCCACTTTTGTCACCTGAAGATGAGCACAATAAACACCATCTATGATGAACTACGGTGGTCATAGTAGAGCCCTGTCACACTGGACATCATCCTCACCAAAATAGTGAGATTCTTCCCTAATAACAAACCCTGGATCAAGCAAATGGAGGATCAGATAGATAAAACTCTAGACAGAACAAATGAGCTGAACACATTTTTCAACAGGTTTAGTTCAGGAACAATGTCATCATCATCCTCTCCTGTCCCCAGCCATACAGACGTCCCATCGTCCTCTTTGGTGTTGTATTTATATTTTTTACTTATATTCTTATTCCTTGCTTATTTTTGCTTAATTTAGGGTTTTGGCTACTCACATTTAGTGTGTACCTTTGTATTTAATTTGTATTTGTTGTATTCTTTTGTATTTTGCTCACTGTGTGCCACTTTTCTGCCTGTAAGCTGCTGGTGACTTCAATTTCCTGAGGGAGTCTTCCCAAGGGATCAATAAAGTACAAGTCTAAGTCTATGTTGTCAAAACTCAGATGTCCTATATTCCACCTCTGTCATGGAGTCTTCTGCTTCCACAAGTTTTCAACCAAATCAGGAGATGCTGCTGCCCTCTTTGCCTTCCTCTCCCACTTTTCTGTGTCTAGAAGTCAGGTGAAGAGGCAGCTGGAGAGACTGTTGGGAATAAGGCTGCAGGTTCAGATGTGTTAGCCCTGATTCCTTGGCGACAACTGACTGTGGGTTTGGGAGATGACCTATTCAAACCAAAAAGGTCTGACTAGCTAAATTTTAATACCAGCATGTACCAGTTTCCTACCACACTATGTCTTTTGATCACTTGATGCCTTATTATTCTGCACTCTATAAGTTGATTGTGATCTGTGGTGAGAGCAGAGAACAGGTGGAGAAAAATCTTAAGAGGTGGAGATTTGCCTTGGAAAGGAGAGGAATGAAGGTTAGCTGTAGCAAGACTGAATAGATATGCTTGAATCAGTGGAGACGTAATGTTACAGAGAGCAGAAATAAGAAGGTGAAAGATTATAAGTACATAGAATCAACGGTCCAGACGGTGTGGAAAAGAAGTGAAGAAACGTGTCCAAGCTGGTTGGAACGATTGGAGAAAAGTATCAGGTGTGATATGTGTAGGAGATAAAGTCCAGGAAACCAGATTGAGATGGTCTGGACACAGGAGAGACAGTGGACACGTTGGTAGGAGGAGGATGAGGATGGAACTGCCAGGCAAGAGACTTAGAGGAAGACCAAAGAGGAGATTTATGGATGGAGTGAAAGAGGACATGAAGGTACAGATCCTTTCCAAAAAATTAGAATGTCATGTCAAAGTTTCCTATAAATCCATTCTAATAGTTAAACTTTTCATAAGTTATAGATTTCAGAGCCCACAGTTTAAGCTATAGCAAGACTGTAGCTTAAACTTTAACAATGAACAACAACTTGTTCATTGTTAAATAATTTGGGCTTCCAGCTCATCAAACCCACAAAAACAGGAGTTCAAAAAATTAGAGCACTCTGAAGAAATCAGCCTTAGTTACTTCTCAGTTTTTGCAGGAAAAAAGAAAGAAATTAAAAATAAAATCTTCAATACTTGGTTGGGAATTCCTTTGCACTAAAAATCACGGCCTCAATGCGATGTGGCAATACCTGGGAGTTATGGAAGCCTAGATTTCCTTGATGCCTTCTGTCAGGTCTTCTTTGTTGTAAGGTAATTTTATTTATATGACAAGGCATTTCAAAGTGCATTGCATGAATTAAAAAGGAAATACAAACAAAATGACAAACCAAAGGAAAGTTCAAAAGAAGGAGAATCTAATAAAATTGGTAATCCATTCCTGTTGAGTTGCCAGGGTATTATTTCTGGATTCTAAGTTTGCTTCTAATCCCTGTTCTGGGTTGCTCAAGTACAAGTGAGTAGGTATTCTCTGGACAATCTAAGTATGCTCTAATTTTGTAAAGTAACAAGTATTTAACAATTTCTAAGTAGTAATAAAAACTAAATGTTCCTGTTCTGGAAGTAATTTCCCTGGATTCTAAGTCTGTTGTAATTCCTTTTCTGGACAGCAAAATGGGAGTCTCTCTGCATAGCAATGTTAAAACATAATCTAAACAGTAAAGAAACTGTTCTATGGGCTTTCTCAGTATGTTCTAAATTGGTAAAAGTAGTGAGTACTCCATAATTTCTAAGTAGAAATAAAAACTAAATGTTCTTGTCCTGGATTCTAAGTTTGTTGGAATTTCTTTTTTGGCTCACAAAAATCAGAGTCTCTGGATAATAACCTCAAAAGTAACCTAAAAGGTAAATGAATACAAAAAGTAAGGGTGTAAAAAGTAACCGACTGGACCCAATCAGTCGTAACACACTACAGAATGATCGGTTACGATTATCACATCTTAGAACGCTGAGCGTTCTAAGATTATCATAAGGGGAAAATCAGGGCAAAAAAATGTGTAGTGTGAACCGGGCTAACAGGAGGAATGAACGATTGCATCAGGTCGATGAATATGGCCATCTCCTCCATTTGAGCCTAATGATTAATTATTGAAGGGCAATATAGTATACAGACTTTATAATCTGTACTTCTGGCTGAATGTAGTTTTTATTTCCACTGGTTTTATGTTGTGTTTAGTTTTTATTCAAGTACATTTTTTGTCCATTTTATTTTTGGTCGTTTTGTTTACGGTATTTAGTTTACCAGTTCCAATGTTAAATGTTCTTCTGAAAATAAAGTTGATCTATTTTTGCAGGATATCGCTTGCATTATTATCTTATTACCATTACATCAGTTTAAAATGGTCTTCAAAGAAAATTATTGTTTATCGCAATAATTTTTGAAGCCGTCGCTCAGCAAAATTTGTTATTGTGACAGATCTAAGCGGGACTTCAGCACTGTCTTGTTGACTATTTGCAACAAAATGTGTCATGGTTGTATGCTCACACACCAATAGCCTGGCATTTGTAAGAGTGCATTTGGTTAGAAACTTTTCTGGAACATATTGCCTGAGTAAGAAAAGCTGCCTGATAAATATGCGTAGCTTGATAACAAGGCGTTGAGCTGCTTAGGCCCTCATTACACAAATTAACATAACAGGCAATCCTTAAATCCCCATGAAAGTTTATGCAGCTTGATTGATCATTCAAAGGGAAAAGAAAAGCATTCCTAACAGATGGGTGGTAAGACAATAAATGTTACTGAGCTCTTTAATAATTGTACAGTTGTGAAATTTTATATGGCAATAATAAATGCTACATATATCACCAGAACAAGTAGATTAGTTTAATCTAAATATTTGACTTTTTTCTCCAGCTAATGAAACAGAAGTGGGATTCTTCAGAAAAGAAGATTATGTTTTCCATAAAGCAAACCCCAAATCAAAATGGTGAGCGGAAGTTTTCAGCTTGGTTCTTCCTGGAACAACAACCAGCAGAACAACCAGCAGAACAACAACCAGCAGAACAACCAGCAGAACAACCAGCAGAACAACCAGCAGAACAACAACCAGCAGAACAACAACCAGGACTTCCATTGTGATGTAAAAATGTGGCTGTTGATTTTAGCTGAAGGAACAGTATGACATTGACCTATTATGTCTCTTTATTAATATGGTATGTCTCTAATACATGACACCATTGAAATGTATATGTTGTGATTAGTTTTACCAATATGTCAATAAACTTTGAATAACTGTTCTTCATTGCTGTGTAAAAGTACTAACACAATACACATAAAGGTAATTTTATTAATATAGCACATTTTCAGCATCAAGGCAATACAAAGTGCGTTATATAAATGAAAAGGAAATATAAACCAAATAACAAACCAAGGGAAAGGGCAAAAGAAGAAAAATAATCTAATGTTGATCTAAAGTATGTAAAGTAGGTGCTCTTGTTCAGGGTTGCTACGTATCCTCTGGTCTTATTCCATTTCTGGGTTAGACGAATAGGAGTATAAAACGTAGCTGCTCAGGTAGGTTTTCTGGATTCTAACCCTAAATAAGTGCAAGTAAGTATCCTCTGGACTTCTGCGTTGCTAGATAAGTATAACTAAGTATTCTCTGGACTTTCAAAAAATGCTCTAAATTTGTAAAATTTAGACACTATTATTATTATTACTTAGTTCCTAAGTAATAATATAAACTAAATATTCCTGTTCTGGAAGAATTTTCTTTTTTGGATTCTAAGTTTGTTCTAATTCCTTTTCTGGTTGCAGTAATAGGAATCTCTCTGCATAATAATCTCAAAATTAATCTAAGAAATATATTTTGGTCTGAACAGTGAGCACTCAAAAGTTTCTAAAAAATAAAGGGAGGCCAATTCCTTTTCTGGATTGAAAGTGAGTACTCCACAAGTTCTAAATCATAAAGTGGAATGAAATAAAAAGAGAAAAGGACACATTATGGCACTTAGCAACATTCAGACAAAATAAAGGGCAACACAAAGACATGAGTAAAGGATGTGACATCACAGGGCTGTGAAACCATGTTGCTCAGCCTCCTGGCAGAAGTCCGATAAGATGCTATCAAGGCATGTCCTTGGGAGCACTCGGATCCACAGCTAGCAAATGTTTTCCCATTTCCCATGGATAACAGGAGGGGGTGATATATATATATATATATATATATATATATATATATAATATATATATATATATATATATATATATATATATATATATATATATAAAGAATTCCCTTCTCACCCCGCGGGTGGTTCTTATCCTCTGAGCTCGGGTCCTCTACCAGAGGCCTGGGAGCTTGAGGGTTCTGCGCAGTATCTTGGCTGTGCCAAGGACTGCACATTTCTGGACTGAGATGTCTGATGTTGTTCCTGGGATCTGTTGTAGCCATTGATCCAGTTTGGGGGTTACTGCCCTGAGGGCCCCGATGACCACAGGCACCACTGTGGTCTTCACCTTCCAGGCCCTCTCCAGTTCTTCCCTGAGGCCCTGGTATTTCTCCAGTTTCTCGTGCTCCTTTTTCCTGATGTTGCAGGCACTTGGTATTGCTACATCTACCACAATGGCTTTCCTCTGTTGTTTATCCACTACGACAATGTCTGGTTGGTTCGCCATTACCATTCTGTCTGTCTGGATCTGGAAGTCCCACAGGATCTTAGCTTAGTTCTCCACCACCTTTGGGGGTGTTTCCCACTTTGATCTCGGGGTTTCCAGTCCATATTCTGCACAGATGTTTCTGTACACTATGCCTGCCACTTGGTTATGTCGCTCCATGTACGCTTTCCCTGCCAGTATCTTGCACCCTGCTGTGATGTGCTGGACTGTCTCAGGGGCCTCCTTGCACAACCTACACCTTGGGTCTTGTCTGGTGTGGTAGATCTGGGCCTCTATTGCTCTGGTGTTTAGGGCATATATATATATATATATATATATATATATATATATATATATATATATATATATATATATATATATGACTGGATAGCTCAATACATAAGGCATCAGTATATCACCCGAGAGGGCAGGGTTCAAATCCAGTCTGGGTCCTTAGGCAAGACCCTTCAAGCTACTGCCTACCTCATACCATGAGAGATACTAAGTTGCATAACATGCCGGCTCAGACGTCGCCCGGCCAAACAAGGTCTGCGTCAGGTGTTGGGGAACCAGAGCACCTTGATGACAAATGGGCTACTGGAACAAGACGGAAATGGGCGAGAGATAAAAATGTGGATCTGTTGGAATGCTACTACTCAAGTAACCCTAGTCAGAGAGGTTACATGCAAAGACTGGGGAAGGAATGGTTACTTCGACATCCCCAGTCAACACTAAGCGCTAAACAACTAGTAGCTCAGTGTTCCAACATCCGCAAACGGCAACTGCTATCACAACTTGAGATTGACGAGATACAACACAAATGCTACGGCAAAAGGGAGGAACCTGGATGTCAGAACTGTGGGGACTTAACTACAAGTCCCCACCCAGTGAGGGGATACACGGCCCCAATGAGCGAAACAGAGCTGAACGAGACAGCTGCTGACCTGAGAGAGAGAATCATGACCCGAATGACAACCAGGCCTCCCCGGCGCCAATTACAACGGCTGAGTGAAGTACCATCAGAAAGTCTCATTGAGAATGTGAATGCAGCATTGAGAACGATCCCTACCAACACCATAACAGAAACCAATGAGCTGATCTACAACTCAGCATCAGTGATCCTTGAGATACTTGGCTATAAGAGCAACCATGAGACCCAATACCCACCATGGAAAAGACGGTTAGAGGCTAAAATCAAGATAACAAGGAGGGAAGTGAGCCAACTGTCAGAGCTCCACAAGGGTACAATGAAAAGACCAGTACCCAGAAAGTACAGTCAGATGCCCATACCTGAAGCACTTGGAACTGCCAAACAGAGGCTCCAAGCCTTGTCCAGCCGCCTAAAGAGATACACAAGGGAGAATGAATCCAGAAGGATTAACCGGCTCTTCTCCACTCAACCAGCTAAGGTGTACTCTCAATGGCAGGGTAATAACAACAGAGTAGACCCACCAAGGCTGGAGACTGAACAATACTGGAAAGGCATATGGGAAAGGGAGGCGTCCCACAACAGCAATGCACAGTGGCTGATCTCTCTACGAGAGGACCACAGCAACCTCCCTGAGCAAGCCCCACAGCCCTGCGACAGATGTTCAAGAAAGAGTCTCAGGCATGAAAAACTGGACAGCACCAGGGCCTGACATGATCCATGCCTACTGGCTAAAGAAACTCACTGCTCTCCATGAGCGAATGGCAGCCCAAATGAACCAGCTGCTACAAAGTGGGACTCACCCTGAATGGTTAACTGAAGGGCGGACAATCCTAATCCAGAAGGATCCATCAAAGGGTCCAGTCCCACCCAACTACCGACCAATAACCTGCCTCTCCACAACCTGGAAGCTCATGTGAGGCATCATAGCGGCCAAGATAAGCGACATCTGCCACTTGGGGATGTCGCTACGCTCCATGTACGCTTTTGTGCCTTCAAACTATTTTAATTGGAGGAGTTTCTAATAACTTCAAAGTTGATGTAAAACACACAATTTCTTATAGAATGATAAATTATCAGCAGCAAACAAACTATCACCAACTACAGCTTAGAGCAACTCATCGATTTATTAATGCAGTAGCCATGTAGCCTGATGGGAAAACATTTTGCTAGACAATATCAAACATTGAGAAGTTTGAATTATTGTTGTCAAACATGTTTTGCAAAAAAAAAAAAAAAAACCCTCAGAAACATCCAGGGTCAATCAGGAGAATAAACTCATTTAAAGTTAAAACTTAGCTTCACACAAATACAAACATTTGTGCTATCAAGCTAATTTTCAATTAGAAGCTCCAAAAATCTTTCTGATAAACATTAGACACATTAAAACAAACCTTTATCTTGACTTTTTCTTTATTCTTCTCATTTTTCTCTCTCCCTGAAGGATAAATCATTTTTTGTGAAATTGTTTCTATAACTTATCTTCTGCCGATGCTTTAGAGGTTTGGATGTACTCTGCACAGCAGCTCATATTACCGTTCAGTGTGGTATCTGCATCGGCCTCCAGGGGGGCCCCAAGAGCAATTTATTTATTTATTTTATATTGTAACTTTGTGATGAATTATGTGTTTTTATTCATCAAAAATCTGTTTCACTTAGGGGGCCCCCTAGCGGCCCAGGATCTCTAAGCAGATGCTTGGTTTGCTTCTGCTTTGGGCTGGCTCTGGTGTAATATATAATTTGATGAATGATCAATATACCCAAGAAGGTCAGATGTTACGTTTAGCCAATTGCAGGGGCAGATTTTTCATGCATAATATGGGACCTATTCCAAGAAGATAGTGTCTCTGAAGGTTTGGTCCAATAGTGTAAAACTCAAGCGACATGACTGGAAAGAAAAACATGAAATAATGTGATAAATTTCAGTCTAACATAAGGGCTACAAAGTTAACTTTTGCACAGTTTGATCTCTCTTCTGCCTTTATGTACATTGGACTCCCACGTCCTCATCATGATTACAGTTGTGAACACCAACTTCACTGTGTGGACAGTCAAAGATGTCAGTCTCTGCTCCTGTGCAGTGCAGCTCGTCCAACCAGATCTTCCCGGTACCTGAAAACAGACATGCATTAATAAGACACTTCTTTATTCAAGTACTTGACTGGTCATAGGACGGTATTTTGTTTATTCTCCTATATTTATTTTCTACTTATTTTGATTTGAACTGTGTTAACTCAGAAAATATCAGGAGAAAGGTGATTTCCAAAAAGTATTAGGAAAAGATTTGGGATGAAGGCCTCTCTCTATGTACTGAAGAGTGCTGCAGCTCTGGCTTTTTTATCATTTTCTACTTTTGTTCGAGGGTACGACTCTACTTCTGAAATGAAAATCAGACAAAGGTTGTTCTACTTCTTAACTACTTGTATTTGTTTATCCATACTGAAAAAAAGGCAGAGCATGTTTGGTTACCTGGGGTCGCAGTGAAGGTGGACACAACAGACTGGAACCCAAGCATCTTACAGATCACTCTCCCATCTAAAGTTCCAAAGCTGTCGTCACAAATGGTCCCCCAGATGTCATTGTGCATGACTTCCACTCGTCCTCTGGTTTTTCCAGGCACTAGACGCACTTTGACTGGGGAGGCACGAAGTTTAAGATTTAAAATCATTTGGATGTGAATTAACACGAATAGAAATGACTAACTGTAAAAAAAAAACACAACACATATCAGCCAGTATCAGATAAAGAAGCATTGTAATGTCTGAATTCTGGTTGGCCATATTGAACATATGTTGGAGGAATGGAAAGATGTATAAAAAGATCAATTACAAGCAACTGACAGAGTGCAAGGTAATTGCAAGACAACTATTTAACATGTTCATCAGTATAAAACAACTGAATGTAGAAAAAACCTGAATCAAGCAATGATTTATTAATGGCTAATCATTTAATAATTCTATCCATTTTTACTGTAATAAGAGGAGTAACATACCTCGTAAGTTAATAATGATTACAGTTTTGTCAGTAATGTAACAAGTTATTATAGTTAAATAATACAAATCAATGTGTCAGATATAGTTTGTTTTCATTCTGTACGTCCAATCATTCCTTTATCCAGTTTATGTACTATACAGCTCATATGACTCTAACTATAGTTTCAAGTGCTAAATGTTGAGAATGTACAGTACATGTCGCTTTTACCTCTACTGTTTCTAGAGCCGCGTTCATCTGGCTGATGCTCTAATCGCTGGACAATTTGAGGAGTGTTTGCTTTTGCAGGAAGTTGGAAGGGAGACCACACAGACTGCAGGACTGTTCTGAACTCCACTCTCCCATACTTTTACAAATTACCACTTTCCCCTACTCTCCAAAATAGTAACAGTGATTTTCTTACCCCATTAATTTGGTTTAATTGATATTTACATCAAACCCAACAGATCAATTTATGTCAAACGCCTTTATTTTTCACAGATGCTGTGTTTAAACTGCTCTCTGCTATAAGTACTTACTCTGTTTTCCTGACTCGCCCTTTTCTCCTTGCAGTCCCGGTGGACCTGTGAGTTTGAGGGAATGGAGGAAAAAATATTACATCTAATTCAGCTGATGAAATAGATGGTAAAAGTTCACAACAAAAATTTATCTTAGGGCACTTGACTAAGTATGCACATACCCTGAGTCCCATTAAATCCAACAGGTCCTCTCGCACCTGGTAAAACAACACAAAGAACAAATAATACATTGAAACAAAAGCTGTTGGAATTTTTTTTGACACATCTTTTACAGCATTGTTACAAAAAAAAAAGAACAAGAAAAAAAAGCGGCATAACCATGTTTGTCTGTTGGTTATTCAGTCAGGCAAAACCTTTCCTGTTTTAGGTCAGTTAAAGTTTTCAAAATTATTTCTATTAGCTAAAAGCCAGACAGTTAAGAGAAAGATTCATAAGTTTTCATAATAAGATGATTATGCCCTTAAACAACATGGGAAAATCCTTGTGATAATGACATGGCTCTGTGAGCCATATTAAACAATATTAAACAATATTCAATTCATTACTCGTAATGTCTTTTATAGAAACACTTGTTCTGTTCCATCAGGCGTAAAAACAGCTTTGTGAGGAACTAAGTGAAGGGTTTAACTCCACTAAGTTTAACTATGTTGGTTTTGCTTTCAGGATAACAACTGATGCTGCTTCAGCTCCATCGCTTGAAGCAGATGACACTCAATGGTTTTTGTTACCCAATTTTTGGTCGATGAATGGAAGACAAAGAAAAGACGTGCAGAGATGATGCAGTTTTGAACTAATTTGTTTGCTAATCTGCAGGAAACTAACTGAAAGAACAACATAGGTATATCTAATTCACACGAATAAAAAAAATTGTCAGTGTGTTTTAACAGAATTTGTGCTTCATTAAGGAGGAACATATAAGGGCTAACATATTGGTTATAAGGGCTAACTCCCTTATAACCAAAAATCTCAACTTTGATTTAATGTCTGTAAAATGCTAAGGATTGTCTGACAATGGCAGAATCCATCTGTATACTTATCATTGACCTATATTTTTTAAACTTGATTTAAGACAATGTAAAAAGAGAGAGAATGAGTTCAAATTGGAGCTATAAGTATGGCTCATAAAATTTAGGTAGTCAGCTATGAGCATGAATATTGAATTAAATTTCGAACTAATTCTTGTTCAGGCTGACATGACAATAGTGGATATGATAAAAATAAGTGGGTCTCATAAGGTCTGTTTTATCCTTGGGGACAATTTCTGGATGCTTAATAGCACCATGCTCAATGCAAAGAAACAGCCTGGTGTCCTTCAGTGTCCTATGGTGGACATGCTTTATGAAGATTTGGTCTTACATGGGTCAGTCAAAGATGACTGATTCCAAAAGCAATTAAAAAAGCAAGATTGTAGTTTTCAAATGTAATCTTGGATTAACAGTTTATATGCTGATAAAATGTGCTTTGTTCTGATGAAATGTGTTTTGGTGGCTACTGTTGTATTCAGAGAAAAAAGGGTTGTAAGTGTTGAAGCAGTGGCAGAATCAAGTGTTGGTGTTTTGCTGCAGGAGGAAATGTTGGCCAAATACAGTAGATTGTTTTATGAGGAAGTGGTTTAAGGAAAGTTTCTCTTCCCTCTATGGTCAGACGCTGGCATCAGGCTCACTATCTCCACTCTGTCTGTCAAGGCTGGGAATTATTGGCACAAAGTTCTTTGGGTTTGAGAGGACCAACCACAGTTTATTTCTCTCAGACGCCCTGTTTGTGGCTGCAGGCCCCACAGTCTGCGGTGAAAGGGAATTTCCTTCGTTTTGCCTTGAAATGCAAAGGATTCCGTTTCCACCCGCCATCTGATGGGTCTGCTGAGGAACCAACAGTGAACAAGTACAGTGCACTCCAGGAGAATCTGCTTCGGTTCTACCAACTGTCGGACGCGGAGCGAGCTGATCGCCTGCTCTTTCTGAATGTCTTGGGGATCGCAAGCCCTCCGAGCTGATAGAGAACATGCTGGCGTTACTTGGCTCAGGAGATGTTTTCTTCCTTGTTACGCATCTGTTTCTGTGCCAGCTTCCTGTTTGCACCGCAGTCCAGCTCTCTGCTGATCCAGATTATTGCTCCCTGGCTGAAGAAGCAGACCAGATTTTGTTGGCTTCCAGGCTTTACAGTATGAATGCACTTCTAACAGATGTGACTCAAGGAGAATCTGAGCCTGTTGATGCCGTGGCTGCAGTGATGGCGCGACAGAAGAACGACTTTCTCTGCTTCTACCATCCCCTGTTTGGAGTGAAGGTGCATTCCTCCATGCTGGTTCGTGCATCAGGGAAACGACAGAGCAGGCGCTCGCGAGCAGCTGTTTGTGCCCGGTTAGTTTGGAAAAGATGCTTTTCATCATGGATGAAGTCTCTGGGCGGCGTTTCCTGGTGGACCCGGGTGCACAGCGCAGACTTTTCAGTGGTTTATAGATTCGGTCCTGCAGGGTATGCCTTTTTTGTTCATCTATTTGGATGACATATTGGGACATATTGGTGGCTAGTCCCTCTGCTGAAGAACACATGGTGCACCTTCATCAACTGTCTGTTAGACTCAGTAAACATGACCTGATCATCAACCCAGCTAAATGCCAGTTTGGACAGTTTGTTTGGGCAGTTTGTGAGCAATAGGTGGCAACCCCTTTGCTTTTTTTAGCAGGAAACTTTGGGATAGCAAAAAATATGGCACCTTTGATAGGGAACTGCTTGCCCTTTTTCTGGTAACACACAATTTCTGTTTCATGTTTGAGGGCTGAGACTTTACTGCTTTTGTTGACCACAAGATTCTCACTTTTGCTATGGCAAAAGTTTCTGAACCGTAATCAGCTCAGCAACAACGGCATTTGTCTGTCATTTCAGAGTTCACCACTGGCATTCAGTGTGTAACTGGCAAGAATAATCTAGTGGCTGAGTGTCTGTCCAGAGCAAAGATTGCTTCTGTGCATTTAGGTGTGGACTACCTTGCTATGGCCACAGGCCAACTGACCGACCAGGATATTCTGGCCTTTAAAACAGCTGAATCCAGTTTACATTTAGAGGCAGTCTCCTTTCATGAGTGTGGTGCAATCCTTCTTTGTGATGTCTCAACTGGCAAACTTGGCCTTTGGTCCCTACTAGTTGCCGTTGGTGGTTTTTGATGCAGTTCATTCCCTTTGACATCTGGGCATTAAAGCTTCTGTTAAACTGGTAGGGGCAAAGTTTGTGTGGCCGGGACTCTGTAAAAATGTACAGACATGGGCGGCTTCCAGCTTGGCTTACCAGCAGTGTGCAAACTAAGGCACACTGCTGACTCACTAAGGCTCCCCTGGAGCACTTTCCTGTTCCGCAGTGGAAGTCTGGACATGTGCATGTGGACTTAGTGGGGCTGCTTCCACCTTCCACAGGTTTGACCTATCTCCTGACGATGGTGGACAGGACTACTGAAGTGGTTGATGAGCCACATTAACCACTTTGGTTGATGTGGCTTGGGTATTTATCTCCTCGTGGATGTCCCGGTTTGGTGTGCCATTGGACTTGATCTCTGACAGAGGTCCCCGTTTCACTTCAGAGTTATGGACCGCAGTGGCAGACAGCCTTGGGGTTAAACTCCACCGTACTGCTGCATACCATTTGCAGGCAAATGGTCTTTGTGAGAGGTTCCACGGGACAATGAATGCTGCATTGCATTCTGGTGGATGATAGCTGGATAGATCGCCTCCCTTGGGTTTTGTTGGGTCTGCGTTCAGCTCCAAAAGAGGACCTGCAGTTTTCTTCAGCTAAGTTGGTCCTGGGCCAGCCTTTGAGGATACCAGGGGAATTTCTTCAGGGTCCAGGGGGTTTGGTTGATTCCCAGGGGAGTAGAACAGTTCTAAATGGGAAATCTAGATCTTTTACCCCATTGGCAGCACATAACTGCCTTCCACAGGTGTTTGTGCCAAAGGACATAATGTCTGCCATGTATTTATCCACCATGACTCACACTGCTCACCACTTCAGCCTCCTTAAGATGGTCCATTCAGTGCTTTGGAGAGGGGACGTAAGGATTTTTTTGGTGGATTTTGGGGATAATCAGGAGAGAATTTTGGTGGACCGTTTGAAGCCAGCTTGTGTTACCAGGGGACCCAGTTGAGTGTTCTCAGCCACCTCGCCATGGTCGTCCCCCAGTTTCTTTACCCGCTCTTCCGAGTCCTCCCCTTCCAGCTGGTTTATCCCCCTCAGGTGGACAGTTTGGTAACAGTCGATCTGGAGACTCTTTCAATTTTCAACCCTGTGAAAAGAAGTCATGGTGGCCGACTTAATAAACTCCCTAGTCGTTACTGTTAGGTATGTCAATTGTTTTGTTTGTCGCTGCTGTTTAGTTTTTACTTTGTGTGTTTTATTTTATGTACTTGTAATGTTTCACATGTTACATGTTTTTGTATTTGTGACATTTTGTGTGTTTGGAGGGGCTGTGTGGTGGATACAATGTATATATTTCACACCTGAATGTATAGTTTTATTGTGAAGGTGAGAGGAGAAGACACCAATGGTTGTATGTCATTCTATTTTTTTTTTTTTTTTTTTTGGTTTTGGTTGGAAGATGTTTAGAATAAATCAAGACCCAAATTATAGTCATATCTTTTTCTGCTGACTTCCACAACATGACATTTTCTCTCTCTCCCATTATTGTCGCAAATAGAAAATATATATATATTTTTGGTCAGTGCTAACTGACCGAAAATATGGTGAAGAATAAAGTGATTGAGTCATTTTATAGATGACTGTATAGTCTGTATATCTGTAGACAGACTGTACATATGCACTTGTTTTCTGTCACTTCTAAATGTTGTCATATCAACAAACTATGACTTGAATGCTCTGCAACTGTCTATTGTGGAATGTGACCAATCAGATGACCTGGGGGTCCCCGAGGACCAACACTTCCAGGGTCTCCTTTTTGTCCTTTTAATCCAGGTGAACCAGGCAATCCAGAGTCCCCTGCAGAAATCAAGAACAAAATGTATTGTGTAAATACATACATCTTTACAAACATTACAAACAGACACAACACCCCGATGCATTTGTGACAATATCTGCTGATTTTAATTATGCCTCACTCTCTTCAACACTGCCAACATTTCACTAGTTTGTCAGTTGCTCCACTTATGAAGCAAGATTTTGGATTTGCTTTATCCTAATGCCAAGGAGGCAAATGTCTTCAAACTAGACCTCCTCTGGTGAAATCAGATCATAATCTTGTTTTTCTCTGCTCTGAATACAAACCTCTGGTGAAGAGGCTACCTCTTAGAAAGATGGCTGTTAGGAAATGGTCACAGGAAGACATTAAAACAGTGGTGCTCAAAGTGGGTCCTCGAGGGCCGGCATCGGTTTTCTCCCTGGTTTAACGCACCTGGATCCAATCAAGGCTCATTAGAGGCCTAAGAAGAATACCAACATGCTGAAAAGGTTGATACTACCACCAGGGAGAGAATTAAAACATCCAGGATTCCGACCCTCCAGGACCCTCTTAAGGCATCAACACAATTTTGGATACCTTTCTGTCCAGACATTCCAGAGTCACCTTTTTCTCCACGAGGGCCTGTAGTCATAAAAATAGATGACACAAGACAAAAACTTTAAGGAAATGATCTACTGCTAAACCAGAGTGACAATAATTTATGAAAGAAATAATAAAAGCTTCACATGCTGACAGGCAGGGTCAGAGTCAGTATTCATTCTTTAGAAGTACAATTTAACCTACAACCTTACCTGGGGCTCCTAAGTCTCCTGGCTCCCCCTTATTGCCTGGTACTCCTGGATTCCCTGCTGAACCTGTGTGACCTGCAGCGGCACACACACACACACACACACGTACAAAAACACACACAGCAAGACTAGCTGTTGATATTTTTCAAGATTTTTTTTGTTTGACCAATATGTCATCTGTGAAAATATGTTGTCTTCCCTTTAAATAGCAGCATGTCAGCAATATTACTGATGAGCTTCACAGATTAAAGGGGGAAGAGACACTGCAATATTTCATAACAATCCACTGACACGTTTTCTGTTCAGGAGTTAAAGGAGTTTATATTCTATTCCTATTAAGCATGTAAAACCAGAGAGAAGTTTATTTTACTTTAAATTTTTGTTTGCTGAACTTCACTTTTAGTTCCTTTTCCTTTTTGACAGTAAGGATAAACGGGACAGTCTAATTTGCCCCTAGCTGTGAGCATTTGAAGTAGTTAATAAACCATACACTGTCTCCCCACGTTGCCCTGTGATGGACCTCCAGACATAGATTGCAGCTGACTGGGACTCTGTGAATTATTACGCAGATATAGAAGATATAGTAGAGAAGATGGTTCTACATTTCAGCCATAACATAGATTATGCACATTTCAATTGCAATTTGCAAATTTCTTTGACCACTTTTCATACATACAATATTAGTGTAACTGAAAACTAAAACTCACCAACTTCACCAGCGGCTCCCTGTTCTCCTTTTCCCCCTTTGAGTCCCGTTTCACCCTTTGGGCCTGAAGGGCCAGGAACCCCACTGTCCCCTGTCAAAAAGAAGCACTACATGCAACCCTTTTCTGTTGTGCACAATGCATCACACCAAACGAAAAGAACAAAAAAAAGAAAATGAACAGTAAAATAAGTGCTTAACTCACAATGGGTGAAAATATGAATAAGTAGAACAAACACCAGATTTGTCAAATTTAACCAACAAATAAGTAACTGACACTTGGAAACAACTGGATCTCACAGTGGGACAATGATCATAAACACCAATCCATCATAATTCCTGGGTTTGGAATAGATACAGTGGGCTAACCTTAATCTCCCACAGTATCCATAATATGAACTCTATTAAGGATTTATGGAAAGGGGACTCTGTGGTTTTGATACATTCACAAATAAATATATTAATTAAATTTGGGTTAGTGATGTTTGCAGCAAGAGGGGCCCCTAAATCAAATTTTGCTCAAGGCCTCATTCAACATTGGACCGGCCCTGCTTGATGAGTTAGACCTGCAGCACAGCACATCTCTGCTGCTGGATGGAAAGAGACAAACGGAAAATTGAATGTATGCGGCTTCAGTAGCTCTTCCATTTTGTGTCTAAGTGTTTAATAAGTATTTGATATGCATCTTGTAGCCGCAAAACATAAACTGACATAAAAATGAACAAGCTGCGCTAGTCATGAGGTGAAAGCTCCGTCACAGGCTGAACCACTAATGCTCAGCCTAACCAGGACTTCAGACTTAATATTTCTTTCCTTTCATCTTTGAAAGTGAAACTTGTGTATTATATAGAATCATCATACATAGAGTATATTACAAACTTTTTGTTCCTGTCATTTTTATTGATATATTGAACAGTTGTAATGAGAAGCCAAAAGTTTGTATCTCAGAAAATGAAAACAATCTGGAAAAAGACATTAATGGAACTTTATAGAGTCACATCCTCATCAGCTAATTAACTCAAAAAATTCCAATGATTTCCTGACCTTTTATTGTTTAAATAGACTTTCACTGTGAGTCAATCAGCTTCACAATCAGGGGAAGACTGCTGTCCAGAAGACCATCATTGATGGCCTTCGCAAGGAGGAGAAGACACAAGAGATCATTACTGAAAAAGCTGGTTCTTCAGATTTCTGTATCTAAGGATATAAAATTGAGTGAAAGGAAGAAATCTGGTAGGAAAAGAAGCACCAGCAGCAGGGAGAACTGGAGTTTTGAGAAGATTATCAAGTATTTCACTATTCCATCTTCCAGACACAGGTGAATAAAGGTTCTGGTCCACTGGGTTCTCTGAGGTCCAGATTCAAAGCAGCCATCTACCAGGACAAGCTAAAGCACTTTCTGTTGACAATCTGGATGGAGATGCTGATTTTATTCCCCAGCAGGGCTTGGGAGCTGCCAATTATATCAAAAGCTGGTTCAATGAGCAGCTTCTGCATCCGAGGATCGGACCGCCGTCCCACACTGCACCCAACTCCTTTGGCTCCTCTCACAGGTGGTGGGCCCGTGGGAGGGGGGACCAATGTCTCCTCTTCAGGCTGAGTCCGGCCACGCTCCATGGGTCCATTGAGCCAGGCCCACCTCCAGACCTGGAGAAGCCAAAAAGAAGCTCCAACCCCTCCACCATGATAAGGTGGCAGCCCAAGGAGAGGCCAAGGAGAAGCGGCCAAAATGGCACCCATGACATGGGAAATTTACAGAAAAATACTCATTTGGGATTATGGCGGGAAACAGGGGTAAATATGGTAGTTTCCCAGCCAAAATAGGAGACTTGATAGATATGACCAGAAGGCAGGCAGCCATAAGCTGTATGGGCTTCCATCCCATCTGTCCAGTGCAACAGACTGGTTGCCTCCATGCCACGCCACATTGATGCAGTATTTCAGGCAAGAGGAGGCATGAAAGTATTAAAATTATAGGGGATATTACAATTTTCTGAGACATTGACTTTTGGGTTTTTTTACTTGTAAGCTATATGCATAAACAATGCAAAACACAAAAGCTTCACATATTTTACTCCATGAGTAATGAATTTCAATAAAATATCCATTTCACTTTCTGACGTGAATGGCAAGCAATATTGCAGTTTTACACAATATTGTAAATTTTTGAGTTCCAGTCCATATCCAGAACTAAAGGAGCCTTTAGATGAAACATCATTAAGAAATGCGTCCGTTTGTGGCTATTTAAGCACTTAGGATGAAAACATGGATTCAGTTTTTTAAGAAATGGGAAAAAAAAATAGCACAAGGCAACCTGTGAAACATACAGACCTGGAGTCTGCCCAAGAGAGCAAATCTCTATGTCCATGTTTTTTGTGAAATCAAATCAAGGGCGAAGCAATTATAACAAACGCCTATAAACTTTTAAAATAATTTCTTATTAGTCATGTAACAAGACAAACTCTCTCCTCAGTAGTTGGATAAGGTTTGGATAAGACTGCAGAGATCATATATTTGAACTAATCATAATTCTCACATCAGTTGTAGAAGGTCATGTTATGCGAGACTAACTGTAATTACTGTATTCAAAGAATATCTCTAATTGTCCAAATAAATAATAAATGCACATATCAACCACTGCTTCAGTGTAAAACCTCTTTAAATATGTTTTTTTTTTTTGTTAACAACATGCCAAAAACCAAATGTGAGCAGTAAGAGAGTGGCCAAACAGGATACTTGTTTAGAGAGATGCACTCAAAAATCTGAATGTGACTCTTGACATTCATGTTGGTAATGTCCAGTTAAGATGGACTCACCCTTTGGGCCTCTCTCCCCTTTCGGACCTTGTTGTCCAGGTCGTCCGGTTGGACCCGGTGGGCCTAAAAGCACAAAATAAAGTTATTTAAGATATGTTTGACCTCAAATTGGTTGCTCAACACAAATGTTTCTAAATTTGAAACAAATTTGCATTTCTATGTACCTGTTTTGATTTGAATGTTTGTTAGTTTGTTTTCCAGGTTTTGGTTGCTGGTATTGAGCCAGTTCAGTTCAGCCCTGAATCTTTGTAGCTGACCTTCCTCACCACACAGACTCTTGACCTGTTACCATGGTATCCACAAGACATACAACATGTAAGTAATACATAACATGTTACATATAGCCCAATTAAAATACTTACATTGGTCATTATAAGTTCTAACTTATTGGAAGACACATTTATATTTTGAGTTTTTGATATTATTGTTTTTTTGACTCAAGTCTGCACCTCTGAAAACCAAAGTCAGAACCAGCTGCGTTAATCTTCTGTGAAATATAGAAATGTATGTGAACCTGGTTATGCAAAAGCCAGAAGTGGCTCTTCAGGCTCTGGGCCTCCTGGCTGCTGTTCTGGATAAGAAGGTCGAGGTCAAGGTCGATGTCGCTGAGGAAGCTATGATGAGACGTTCCCCTCTGTGACGCAGGACTCGCTTCCAACACAACTACGGCCAGAAAAGAAAAAGAAATGAAAAAGCAGTTCTTTCATTAAAACATTTAGGATTTTTAGGACTAACATAAGTTAAATAATGTTTACAATTTTCTTTAATCATCGTATCTGAATTAGAACCGAAACTTAAAACCGAACTGTGATTTTAGTCCAGATTGTTTTTGTCTGTATGTTTGTACCTTTATAAATGAGAAAGGCATCAAGCGCTGTCTGTAAGATGACACAGATAATTATCATCGTAAAACTCCACTGTCTTCTGGACGGGGCTGCTTTCAGATCTGAAACAAATTGCACATTGACAGACGTTGACCTCTGTGAAGCAGGAGAGACTTACCGGTTTGGTCACTTCTAGTGCAGATCATCAAATAGAAAGAACTTCTTCAAGTTTTAAAGTAAGATATATTTGGGCATGCCACTTAATTATCAGACAAGTTTATGTAACTGAAATGTTGAGCGACATTAGTTATTATAGTCTTACACATTTACAAATGCAGAGGAACTGTTTCAGCCTGTAGCAATATAAAGAAAGTGAACATATTAACTTGAGCTGAAGCTGTAACCAAGCAGGTATGAACTCAGTCAAGCAGCTAAATTCTTATCCCTTTTTGCTGAACTCAGCCATATTTTATGTGTTCACTGCTCTTTCTACACTGTTTCTTTTTAAAGACTTGAATCTCTTCATGAAACTATGTGATTTAAGTAAGTAGACCTTGTTGTGCATTCAGAATGACAAAGTTCTCCACTGAAAGAGAAATTAAGAAACATTTTTGCTGACATTTTAAATTTGTGTAGTGCGATGCTGATTTTTATTGTACATTTTCAAAGTGTAACCCCACAAAATCAATTAATTGAAAATAGTAAAAAAAAAAAAAAAGAAGAAGAAAACAAAAAGAAAAATCTTTCTTTTCTGCTTTCAGCTGTTCATATAAATGTTGGCATTTGTTTTCCATTGAAAACAATAGAAAACAAAATGCCATCTTGTTATATAACATAACAAGCTGCACAAGTTATATTATATATGAAACTAAATCTAGTCATACTCATATTTGGCTTTTTAGAAATCTGCCAATTTTCTGTCATAACTACAGTCAAAGCAAACATTTTTGCAAAGTTAAATTCTGGTAAAATGTAAAATAACAGCCTTTATTTTACAAAAGCCAACAACACTAGAGACGTTCTAGTGTGATCCATAGCAAAAAGGGTCAATACAGTGTTGTTGTCCACTGCATTGAAATATCCAAGGTTATTTTTTGTATGTTATTTCCCAATATCTAGAACTTCTCCATTAATCTGTTGTGAAAGGCTCTCAGTGGTGCTCACCGTCTTGCTGGAAGCTGTAGCGCTCGCTCCTGCTCAGCGACACGTCAAACAGTGGATTATAATGTGTGACTTGGTCCATTGTCTCGTCCACTGCTGTCTCCATTCTCACTGCAGTTTGACGTCTGCCTACCTCTTGCTTAAGTAGTTCTTGATGTTGGGAAAATAAGTCTTCACAGGATTACAACACAGCACTCATGAAACTGCATAGATGTGCACAAAGAGAGGAAGCAGAAAAACTTGATTTTGACTCTGTGTGTGTTGAAGGGCTGGGGTATTGTGGGGCATCACTGGACATTATAGACACAGCTGGGGTATTGTGGGGCATCATTGGACATTATAGACACAGCTGGGGTATTGTGGGGCAGCATTGGACATTATAGACACAGCTGGGGTATTGTGGGGCAGCATTGGACATTATAGACACAGCTGGGGTATTGTGGGGCAGCATTGGACATTATAGACACAGCTGGGGTATTGTGGGGCATCATTGGACATTATAGACACAGCTGGGGTATTGTGGGGCATCATTGGACATTATAGACACAGCTGGGTATTGTGGGGCAGCATTGGACATTATAGACACAGCTGGGGTATTGTGGGGCATCATTGGACATTATAGACACAGCTGGGGTATTGTGGGGCATCATTGGACATTATAGACACAGCTGGGGTATTGTGGGGCATCATTGGACATTATAGACACAGCTGGGGTATTGTGGGGCAGCATTGGACATTATAGACACAGCTGGGGTATTGTGGGGCATCATTGGACATTATAGACACAGCTGGGGTATTGTGGGGCAGCATTGGACATTATAGACACAGCTGGGGTATTGTGGGGCATCATTGGACATTATAGACACAGGATGGTATAACAAATGTAATAAAATCCTGTGCCAGACAGAAATAAGCCCAACTTTCTTTTCTGAACCCTCTCCAGGCAGGTGTTGCAGATTTGCAACAAGCCAGTCTTTGCACGTAATTTGAGCCTGAGAGGGTTTATTCTATTTAAAGTGTGTTTTTTCCCATTAACTCATTGGTTTCTGCCTTGATTTTTCTTTTTTTGATGAAGCAGGGAAGGAAATGCTGATGTGCCAATCTGATTTCACAAAATGTCCAAGCATGGCTTTTTTTTCTTTGAAATCAGAATGCAGAAGTTGCACAGTGTGACACAATGCCATACAAAATCTTCCAAAATCTTTGTGCTTTGGAAGTATTTTGAAGGTGAAAGCTTCAGAACATCCACTAATCAGCAAATGGAAAAAATTATCTGAAAAATTTATCACATGGAACAAATTCTATTTCCTCTGTCATACGTCAAGAAAGGGGAAGAATACCAGTAAACTAGATGTCCTGTAATAACTTCTAGTCTTGCTTTTCTGACCAACAAGGAACTTGAAGGATAGAATGTGATGGACTCGTGATTCTTGATCTGATGTTTTCCATTTTGCAGCTGTGTAAGCTCAACCGTACACACCTGTCTGTTATGATGAGCTCGTCTGTCTGTCCTTATGTTTATTCTTTTTGTTTTACTGTTGTTTCTAAAAATGAAAAATAAAAATGAAGCCCATTTGCCATTTCAATCAGAAGAGTTTAAATGTACAAAAGAGAAAAATAACACACACACACACACACACCTTTTGATCAATATCCACTTTTACTTTTGGGGCGATTAAGAGAAAGTATTCATTATTTTTGGTTTTTCCATTTAGCCTTTTAGTAAAAGAAAAATTGAGTTTTTCAGCATATCCAAAAACAGAATGAACAGAAAGTGATAATGATCTTTAAGGTACATAAAACGTTTTTACAGTATGTCACACAGCGGTGACTCAAGCTTTGCTCCAGGAAGGAGCTGCAGGATCACACTCTTTCTAATATGATCCAGTTCATTGACTTCAATAATAAAGTGATCTGTAGTAGCTTTTTCTCTTTTTTTACTTTCATAATTGATGGTGGAAGTTTAAATACTTAAAAAAATGCAAAAAGGCTCATTTGACATTTTGTCACTTTAGTGCTTTAGCAGTGTCCACTTTCATTTCCTGTGCTGACTGGTTTTTTACCTTTAGTTCATGACACATAAAATCTAGTTATGGAAAAAATAGAGAAGCTACAGAAATTTTCTTACTGACCTTTCAACCATCACTCAGTGACCACAATAGGTTTATGTTACAGAAAAAAGTAGTGATGTGTTACAATGAATTAGAAATATGAATACATTTTGTGTTAATAAAAAATTCATACTTTTTCATATAAAACAGGAACAGGAAGATCTGCAGCGGTATGTTAAGTGAAGTTTCACAAATCCCAATCATGGTTTTAAATATTCTGCGTTTAGTTGAAAATAAACTTGTCTAAGTTTGAGCTGTCCAAGTGTTTTAGAATTAGAGACGTTCTAGTGTGATCCATAGCAAAAAGGCTCTGAAATCTCCCTTTATTTAAGTTTTACAAATTAGAAAAAGTTTAACAAATCACAGTGGTTCTAAATATGCTACTAGTTGAGGATAATTCAGTCGATATTTGAAGAGTTTGTTGTAGATTTGAAATTAGAACAGTTCTTGTGTGACCAAGATAAAAAAAAGTGGTGAAATCACCCATTTGGCGCAGCGCCTCACTTCACCTAGGCGCCGCCAGTGCCACGGGCCGCAGTGCCACGGGCCGCAGTGCCACGGGCCGCAGTGCCACGGGCCGCAGTGCCACGGGCCAGAGTGCCACGGACTCGCGGCTTGATGCCAGTCAGTGAGGATCTTGATGTTGCTGGAGTTCCTGCTGGTCCTTCTGTTGCAACTGCAGAGGAACAGCCTGAGCTGAGATCCTTTATTGAAGTTGATATCACTGACAGTGAAATGAAACATGATAAATCTGGGAAGAGTTTTGATGCAGATTCAGGGGAAAGGGGAACTGATGAAGCTTTTTTTGAAGGCTTTTGTGAGGATGACAGCATGTTGGACAAAGAGTTTTTCAAACTGTCCCAGAAAAGGAAAAGTTCTGAACCTGCTGCTAGCAGCACCAAAACTCTCAGGACTAAGAGAGCAAACAAAGCAGAAGAACACAGTTTGGAGTCTGATAGTGGCCTGTTGTTGAGCCAGGACCAAAAGAATCTATATCTTCCTGCTGAAATTAAGATGTTTTTACAAAACTCTAAAAGACTGATCAGGCCGCCAGACTTAGCCTGATCAAGGCTAAAGACTTAGCCTGATCAAGGCTAAAGACTTAGCCTGATCAAAGTAGAATATTTTCCAGATTTAAAAATGTTTGTTGAATCTTATTTGGGTCTTAACAAAGACAACTGGACATTTTGTCGATGATGTGTTGACAGATCAAGAAATTTATCAGTTAAAGAAACTGATGTTGAAAGTCATAGTCCAAGCAATTACAGCTGATGAATATGAGAATATTTAGAGAAATATTTGATGTTTCTCCATGTCTTTTCTTTTGTTTTTTCATTTCCCTATGCGATTTTAAAATAGGCACATTAAATTTAAACAGTGCCAGGGATGAAGTGAAAAGTTTTTTGAACTTATGGTTTTCAAAAAAATTGATATAATGTTAATTCAAGAAACACACAGCACTGCTGAAAATGAGAGTGATTGGAAGAAGGGATGTGGAGGGGAGGTTTTCTTTAGTCACAAGTCTTGTGACTAAAGAAGTTTTTTGAAAACAAAAAAGTTTTCAAAAACCCTTTTTGCCTATTTCTTATGAGGCAGAGGAAATAGTTGAAGGTCATTTATTGAAAGTTAAAGCCAAATGGTTTTTCTTAATGTATATGCTCCAACCAAAGGGATGGATAGAATGTTTCTTTTGGACATTTTAGGGGACACTGTAAATGATTGTAATGATAATGATTATTTGTTAATGTGTGGAGATTTTAATTGCACTGAAAATCCGTCGTTTCATTGGAATCACTCAGAGTCTAATGCTGAATCTTCTCGGAGGCTCAGGCATCTGACTGCGACCTCTGACCTTTCAGATGTGTGGCAATTTTTCAACAGGAATCAGAGACAATATACATGGAGTCAGTCCAAGGATCATTTTCTATCCTTGGGAAGACTGAATCGTATTTATGCATTTAAACATCATTTGAATATTTTTAAGAATTGTCAAATAATTCCTGTTGGTTTTTCTGATCACTGTCTGGTTTATTGTTCTGTGGTTTTTAAAAATGTTTGTATACAAAGCATCTACTGGCATTTTAATACAGGTTGTGGTGGATGCTCCTACCACTAACACACTGTGTTAGTATTTATTTTTTCTTTATATTAGTTACAGTTGATAGTCTGTTATGTTAGTTATTTCATTTAGACATATATTTTCTAATGGGTGCACACTGTAGTTAATGTCTGTCTGAATGGTTTATTTATATCTGTTTTTGTTTGAGGTGCTGCTGATAAACCAGCTGGAGGAGGCTCTGGAACAAACCATTTCTCTAAGAGACTGGAGGGGGAGACTTGCTTCAAGTTGATTTGAATTAGTTCTTTTTTTCACTTAAATATTCACTTATTATTTGTGCTAAGTTAAAGTTTGTTTTGCTTTATTTGTTTTGTAGAATACTTTGGTTAATTTTGTATTTGTTTGTTCTTTTGTTATGTTGTGCCTCCCTCATGTGGTAGATTTAGGAAACTGCGCCCCTATTGAAGCAGCCTTTTGTTCTTTGTTTGTAGGTCAGTTTTGTTTTGTGTTTGGTTAAAGTTCAGTTGATCTCAGTTAAATTAGTTTCAAATTTGTTACTTTTACTTTAGTATGAAATCTTTAATTTTTGTTTACCATTTTTTGAAGAATTAAATTGAAATTTTTCTGTTTTGAACACCTTTTTGTCCTCTTTTGAGTTTGGTCCCTCACAGTTGGTATCAGGAGTGGGATTTTCTTTTTTCTTCTCGGAGAGGAAAAGTTTCCAAAATGCCTAGAAGGGGAAGAGGAGGAACAGAAGGAGGACCCAGTTCTGAGCTGGAGGAACGAGAGGCTGTTGAGGAAGGTGGAGCTGTTGGTGGAGTGTTTGACATGGAAGAGGTGAGGAGTGAACCAACATTAGCAGACTTGGTTAACCTTCTTAGAGCCCATATAGAACATCAGAAGGCCAAAGACGACGACTGGACCAGAGAAACTGCAAAGCAACAGCAAAGATTTGAGGAACTACAGCAACAGTTCCAATTGTTTAAAAGAGAGAGCCAATCGGAGACCA